CCCAGATTTATATTTCCCTTCACATTTATCACTGCTCTTGCAGTGGCACTCCTTTTTGTTTTATTTTTTTGGGTGGGGTTAAGAACTGGAAGGGAAAATCCAAGAGTGTTTTTTCCTTCCAGGATAATGAGTGATTAAGAAAAAACAGTGCTCCTGCCCCAGAAAATCCTTCTGGCAGTGAAGCTAGATTAAGTAACTGGATCTTGCAATTTGTTCCACATTAGTAGCAGCTGATGAGTGCTTTGATCGATCTAAAGTGTATTTGCCAAAAGATCAGGCAATGATCTTTGCACTGCACTGAGTTATATAACGAAATGCTTCTGTAATGTCTCAAAGTGCTTTTCAAGGTGCTTTTCAAAGTGTTGTATTTTTTTTGGGTTAGCCGGATGTCTGACAATTGCGGAAACCCATCATCATGCTTAAGAGTCTCCAAGCCAAGCTGAGATTTCCATGCATCCCACCTATACACGGAAATCCCAGAGATAGATTGTTGGAATGAAATGCACATTCTCTCCCTGGAGGAACACATCCTGCTTACCTAATTCTGGAAAGTATTAGGCACAGGTTTGCATGAGCCAAGGCTTGGGGACCCCAGAGTGTGCCTTGGGGTACTGCTGGACTTCAACCATCTAAAACCGCATAACTTACCATTGATATTGCCTTCCAGCAAGTTTTCCAACTGCTTATCCAGGTAGGACTACCCTACCCGTTAAAGCTTTGTCTTGCAGGGTTAACAGAAGCTCAGTGGGATGATTCTCTGCCCATTACTAGTCTGCCTTTCCAGGTTCTGCTGATGAGGAAAATGAAAATGGAGGAGGCAAGGTGGAGGGACTGAGGGTAGTATTCCAGGGCATTGCTGGCCTGTCATCAACAGTGCCCTGGAATACTGTGGACCCACCTGTCTTAGGAACCGGACTACCGAGACCACCACGGATGCCTGGCTCGATTATGACATTGCATTGCCAGGCATGTCACCTTGGAGCCAGTTCAGCTCCAAGGAGATCCCGCTTACCTCCCCCCCTAAGGAGGACAGTAATGATGGTCAAGAGGTTTTGAAAACAAAGTACGCATTCCCCCATCCCCATTTGCTAAGCCTCACCACTAGAGTGTTAGCTTTCAGCCAGTAAGCCCCCATTAACTCACTTCCCAAATTCCCCCACCCAACGCTTTAAAACCCCATCTAAAAGTCCATTTCTTTGATTACAGTTTCAGCCATCTCCTCCCCTGTCTGTCCTATTTCCTTCCCTGCTCGAGATCCCTCAGTCTTTGAGAAACACCTTCAGGCGTTCTCTCTGCAGTACCTATTGTTGTTGTTATCTGTAGGGTACCCCAGGCTCCACTGGCTCCCAATCACAGAACAGATCGACTTCAAGATCCTCAAACCCGTCTACAAATCCCTTCAATGCCTTGGCACCTCCTTACCTTTCTGACCTGCTTTCTCCCCACTCCACTACCTGTCGCCTATGCTTGGCTGGTTGTGGTCTCCTGCGCTCCACCATTGGTCCACTACCTCTGGAACTCTATCCCCCAGTGCCTTCGCCTTGCCTCCTCCCTTTCCTCCTTCAAGGCCGGTCTCAAGACCTTTCTCTTTGACCGTGCCTTCAGCTCCCCTCTCGACTCTCTACCCCCTCCTCGCTCCCTCCCCTCACCCTGACCATTTCCCCCCTGCTCGGGTCCTGACCCAACTGTACAGTGCCTTGGGACGTCCTCCCGACGTGAAAGACACTCAATAAATGGAATCTTGTTGTTGCTGTTGTTGTTGTCCCCTCCTTCCCCATTTTCAAGGCCTGAAGTCCATCCTATTCGACCATGCCTACGGTCACCGTTGGCATGAAGCTCTGACTCAGTGCTCTGAGACGCTACCCTGCATGAAGAGTGCTATATACAAAAACAACATGCATTAATATAGAGCCCTTCACGCGGGGTAGTGTCCTGGAGTGCTAACAGTTGCGGAGTCTGACACTGAGCCAGGGTGAGAGGGAGATGGGAGGTGACCATAAGCACAATCAAAAAGGAAGGCCTTTAGGCGGGATTTGCTGGTGGGGAGTGAAGGGGCAAGGCAGAGGGATTGAGGGAGAGAGTTCCAGAGTTTCGGGGTGTAGTGACTAAAGGCACGACCATCGGTGGTGGAGCGGAGGGCACGAGGGGCAAACAGGAGGCTGGAGCCAGTTGAGCAGAAGCAACGGGTGGTGGAGTAGGGCGAAGGGATTTGAAAATGAGTGAGAGGATCTTGAAATTGATCCGTTCAGTGATTGGGAACCAGTGGAGCCTGGCAAGGTCTGGTGTGATGGGGGTACAGAGTTTTGTGAGGGTGAGTATCCGGGTGGTGGAGTTTGGGATTAATTGGATTTTGTGTTTGGTGGAGCTGGTGGAGCTCCATCCACAACTCCAGCTGGATCCATCCACACCTCCAAGAGTGAAGTTGATAGATTTTTGGTAGGTCAGGGTATTAAAGGGATATGGGGAGAAAACAGGAAATTGGAATTGAAAGGATTAGTTGAGGTACAGATCAGCCTAAAAATCGTACTCTAATTAAATGGCGGAACAAGCTCAAGCGGAACGGCCTCCTCCTGTTCCTATGTTCCTGGGGAGACCAGTGAAGAGATCATTAGAATAGTTCAGCCGGTAAGTGCTGAAGGCCTGGACAAGGTTTTCAGCAGTATAACCCATATGAAACCGACCACCTGCTGCCTCGACCCCATCCCTACTCCTCTCCTTACCTCCCAGTTCCACCTCCTTGCCCTCTATTCACAGACATTATAAATCTCTACCTGACCACTGGCACCATTCCCACACCCTTAAAAACAGCCGTCATCACTCCTATCCTTACAAAAAAACCCTCCCTGGACCCATCCCTGCTCTCAAATTACCGCCCCATCTCCAACCTCTCTTTCCTTTCCAAGGTCCTGGAACAACAACAACAAGATTACATTTGTATAACGCTTTCAGAAACAGCTTTGATCAAGGTGACAAATGACATTTTGTCCATCTGCGACCTGGACTCCCTCTGCCTCCTCATCCTCCTTGACCTTTCTGCTGCCTTTGACACCATTGACGACTCTATCCTCTCCCACCGCCTCTCCTGTCACCTCAGCCTTCATGGTTCTGTCCTTGAATGGTTCAGGTCATAGCTCTCATACAGCCTACACTTCATCTCCACAAACGGTTTCTCCTTTATCCCCCGCACCGTCACGTGCGCCGTTCCTCAGGGCTCTGTCCTTGGTCCCTTCCTCTTCACTATCTATATGTTCCATCTTGGCAGGAGGTCAACTTCCACATGAATGCAGATGACACCCAACTCTACCCCTCTGCCTCCACCCTCGACTCCAGGACCACTGCTGTCCTGACAGAGTGTCTGTCAGACATCAAGTCCTGGATGAGAGTTAACTTTCTTCAGTTGAACGTCAACAAGACCGAGGCTCTCCTGATTGGCTCTCGTCAGCGCCTCCACAATCACATGGTTGTACACTCCACCTCACTGAGCCAGTCCAGCACCTTGGCGACTTGTTTGACCCTCAACTATCCTTTCTACCCCATGTTCGTGCCATGACTCGCTCTACCTTCCTACACCTCTGCAAGATCGCCCGCCTCCATCACTGCCTCACTCCTCAGGCCACCGAAACCCTCATCCACGCATTCATCACATCTAGCCTCAACTACGCCAACTCACTGCTTGTCGGCCTTCCCAACTCTTCCCTCCACAAGCTGCAGATCATCCAGAACTCTGCAGCTCGTGTCCTTTCCTGCACCAGGCTCCATGACCTCATCACCCCCATCCTCGCCGGACTCCACTGGCAATAGAATTCAAAATCTTTGTGCTTGCCTGCAAGGCCTTCCATGGCCTTACCCCTCCCTACCTGTGACTTGCTAACCCCATATCAACCAGTCGCACTCTACGTCCTCCGCCCAGCCCACTGCACCAATGGTGGTCGGGCCTTCAGCCTCTCTGCCCCCACCCTATGGAACTCCATCCCACATTCCCTTCGTCTCACTCCCCGCCCCCTTGCCTCCTTCAAGGCGCGTCTCAAAACCCTCCTCTTCGACCGAGCCTTCGGCCATCCTCCTACCCTCCAGCCTCCCCGATCCCGACCCCCCCCCAAGCTCGGGGCCAAATCCAGCAATGACAACAACAACGTATACATAGCGCCCTCCCTGCGTCTCAGGGTAGCGTCTCAAGCGCGTTTACATCCCTGACTGTCCAGCACCTTGGGTGCTCCTCCGGACGTGAAAGGCGCTTTGCAAATGTAATTTGTATTGTGTTGCATTATTGGGTGTTGGTGTTGTTGGATTCACAGCCAACATTACAGCTGCTCTTCACCACATAACCACAGGGCGCACTTAGGGTGCGCAGACGGGATGCGCAGTGCGTCAAGCCCGTGAAGCGGAAGTTCGCCGAGGGCTCGGGTGGGGGCGGGGCGGTGACGTCATTGATTGACGTAGAGGCACAAGCGCGTGGCGCGTCTTGCGCAGACGTTGAAGGGCGGACGGAGGGCGGGCGGGCGATCGGATCGATCGATGGATCGATCGATTGATTGACTGATCGCGCGAGTTGTGTGTCTGCCCGGCGGTAACCAATGTTGGCGGATTGGTCGGGTTCACGCCCAATTGGGGCGTGTTTTTCCTGCGCGTCGCGTAAAATAACAGCGTTGGGGCGGGTGCCCACTTTTCGAAACATCCGAAAAATTTAAAACGGTGAAATGCGTGGGTTTTCGAAGACCTTTTCTCGCACAGTTTCGAGAGAGGGGGGGGGGGAAAAAAGCACTCAGCCTCAATCGGCCAGTCTGCCGGCCATATAAGCGGGCGGACGCCTCGTATTGGGCTACTTTTTTTTTTGGGGGGGGCGGCGGGAGGGCTCGGGTTTGGTTACCCTTTCGGGGCTGCGACATTTTATTTTGATTTCTGACGCACCCCAGAGGCGGTGACGTAGGATGGACGGGGGAGGCGCGAGCGGCGCCGGGGGGAGGCGCGAGCGGCGCCGGGGGGGAGGCGCGAGCGGCGCCGGGGGTTGGGGGGCGGTGGCGGTTGGTGGCAGCTCGTCTCGAGCCGCGGTTCGAAGTTTAAATTACCAACAGCTGTAGCCGGGGATGGAGCCGAGCGCGGGCGGTGGCGGCGGCGGTGAGCGACTAACTCGAGAGCAAAGACACGTCGGGCTTTCCTCTCCTCTCAACTCGTTTTGCGAACGTGTTGTGCGGGGGTTTCTGTAATGCGGCGGTTGTGGTGGTGGTGGTGGTGGTGAGGTGCGGGGGGGTAGTAAACATGTTTTGGGGGGTGGAAAAGTGCGCCACGACGCCGTCGGCGAGCACCTGGAGCGTGTGTCCCGAGTGGGCTCGCTCCCCGGCGGTGTGAACGGACGGCGTTGTTAAGGGATAATAATTTGGGGAGGACAAGTTTGCGGGGCTGTGTGTGTGTGTGTGTGTGTGGGCGGGGGATTGATTTGGTTTAAGCTTCTTTTGGAAGAGCCCACCGCAGAGACGCCTATGGGCTAAATGGCCTCCTCCTGTGCTGTACGATTCTGTGGGCAGCAGTGAGGATCGGTTGTGTTTGTGTGTTTTTTTTTCTCTGTTCGGGCTTCCCCTTCTTTTCCCCTGCCCTGCCCTGCCTGGCCCTGCCCTGCCCGGCCCTGCCCTGCCCGGCCCGGCCCTGCCCGGCCCTGCCCCGCCTGGCCCGGCCCTGCCCTGCCCCGCCTGGCCCCGCCCTGCCCTGCCCTGCCCTGCCTGGCCCCGCCCGGCCCTGCCCTGCCCGGCTGCCCTGCCCGGCTGCCCTGCCCGGCGGCCCTGCCCGGCGGCCCTGCCCGGCTGCCCTGCCCGGCTGCCCTGCCCGGCGGCCCTGCCCTGCCCGGCTGCCCTGCCCGGCCCTGCCCTGCCCGGCTGCCCTGCCCGGCCCTGCCCTGCCCGGCCATGCCCGCCTTGCCTTGTTCCCCGTGTTTTATTGTTCGCAGTCGGGCCCTTTGATTTTCAGGGGCGCCCTGAAATGACTGGGCATCTGAACACCTCTTACCCACTCCACCCACTCACTCACCCACTTCACTGACATCTGATCCGATTGCCAGTGATATCAGTGATTATTCTCTCAAGGAACTATGTTCCCGAATCTCTTGCCGGCAAGTTGGCTGTCGATCTCTTTCCAGCACTTTAGCTCACGTTTGTATCCATAACGTCTCCCCGACGCGGTTCCCAAGACAGTGGGCGCCGCCAGTGCTGGACTGCGCTGAGATTAACAATTTTTTTTAAAAAAAAAGGAAAATCGGATCTCTTCTCTCCCACCCCTGGCAACGTGAAGGTGTTGGACTGCATAAAGATTAACAACTAAAGTTTGATTAAAATCTCGTCTCCCGCTCAGCTTCTGACCAAATTGTTCGCCCACAAAATACAATCAAACCACTTTACAGTAGATCTGGTGAAGCGCTTTGAGATGTCTTGATGACGTGATAAGTCGCAATATTAAATACAAGGATTATTATTTTATCTAACATCTGTGATCTTCTACTCCACTCTTCTGCTTGCTGCCATATGTTTGGAAGGGATTTGTGGCTGGGCTAAGATTTATGCTTGGAATTGCATTGCAATCTATAACTCGTAGACAGCGTAGCTCATCTTTTGGGAGATGGTATGTCAGTATCTTTACTTCTGTAATCTTCTTTTACTCTGCTAACTCTGGTTTGGGCATTCTCAGCCCTCTTCTCACCACCATTGGTGACTGAGCTTTCAGCAACAAGACACCTCTAACCTTGGGAACTGCACTCCTTTTCCCCCCACCCCTCTTTAAATGCCTACTTTTTGACTAAGCTTATGGTTTCTTCGACCTCCTGTCCCACCCTGTTCCCGGCTTGGCTTCTGACACTGTCCATGTGGAATATTTCAGAACATTGTTATACGTGAAGGGTGATACATAATGCATGTTCATACATACTCGCACTCATTGTGGGATTGTGTATTCATACAGTCGTTTGTGATTGTCTGGCAGTTAGCCACATTGTTTGATGCTTGGGAGTATTGTGATTTTTTAAATAGTATTGTCCCTTTGCAATGTGAAAATAAGGTTACAATCTGGTATGTTAATTCTTAAGGTGATACCAGCTAATGAGCACTGGCATTTAGGAACTCGAAGTAGATTCTTATGTGTGTTCATATGTGCATGCATGGAAGCACACGAATAATGCATACTATGTAATAGAATACATGTCGCTGTAGTGCAGTGCCAGTTCTGGCAAGTTGTATGATTCGTTTTTGGGAATTGAGATCATAACTCGGTATCATTGCACCTTGCTGTTAAAGAAGATTATCAAGGGTAATTATAGAACGTAATGTGCTATCGTGAGCTGTAAAGGAACATCTTTTCTGTGATTTGAGCTGTCAGCCTGGTTCAGTTGGTAGCACTTTTGACCCTAAGTCATAAGCTTGTGGATTCAAGCCAACAACCTGAGAGCTCGCAGCCGAGATGGCATTCCAAATGGTGCGCTGTATTTTTGGTGGTGGAGTCTTTCAGAACCCCATCATCCCCATCCTCGCCCGACTCCACTTGCTCCCAATCACTCAAAAGCTACAGTTCAAAATCCTGATCCTCACCTTCAAAACCCTCCACAGAATTGCTCCTCCCTATCTCTGTGAGCTCCTAACTCCCTACGAACCTGTCTGCTCCCACCCCTCAGCGGGCTCCAGCCTGCTTCATGTCCCCATCTTGCCCGCCCCACCATTGTCCTGCGGGCCTTCAGCCACTCTGTCCTCACCTACTGGAACACCAACCCACAGTCCCTTCGCCTCACCCCCTCACTTGCCTCCTTCAAGACATTGATACATGCCAATATACCAAATGCAAGCATTATTGATGAAAGCTTTGCCATGGGAAAACAAGGTGGAGTTTCAGATAAATGTCAGTAGATTGTTTCTTTATGAAACCGATTGATAGGGGAAAAGGGGAGATATCAGAAAAAAAGATCTGGACAAACACTTCAGGACACTGGAACATCCTTGCAGGATGCAGTATCCTTTCTGAGGCCAATTTTGTTCTCCCAACTGCTACCTAGTCTGAGATTGGGTATTCATGAATGGCCCAGTAATGCTCCAGGAGATTGATCACAAACAAACAGGTTGCTGTCTTTTTAATTGTATATAACCGTCAACCCTAAAGAATAAGTACGCCTATTTGATTAGCAAAATAACTACAGCTAGTTACGTCTATACCGAGATATAAAAGGGTAAGGCAGGAAAATGGGTTTTGAGTATATGGATCCAGTTGTGGAGCTTGCACGACATAGGTATAGATTTATTTCCTGTACTGATATTTTCATAAATCTAGGATTTTAAACTTTTCTCTTTATGAACGATGACAAAAGTTCTGAACTTGTAAAATTTGCAAATGCAAAGGCGGAAAGTACTGAAACATCCAGTTCCATCTTTTTTCCAAAGTTTAATTTTTTGTTTTATTTTGGTAGGTTTACTGTCCAGCATTTCTGACTGGTTAAAACTTGAAGGGAGTTTTTGAATGGTGCCAGACAATCCTGTTCTTGATCAGTATAAATATTATAATTCACCACTTTGAAGTTGTACTGTACTGAGTACTAAAATGGATAACATTGCAAATTATACATTGTGCTTTAAATGCGTATTCATAACCAATAAAAGTTTTTTTTAACGTCAAGTTGGAAGTGCTTTCCCAGTTTTTTTAAAAAAAAACACTCATTTCATATAGCCGCTTATTGCATTGATGAGACATCTCAACACATTTCCCAGGATAATAATAATAAAGAAACCTTGCATTTGATATCGCGCTTTTCATGTCTTCTCGATGTCTCAAAGCGCTTCACAGAATAGGCTGCAAAGTGAATTGACTATATTTGTGGGTGAATGTCCCACAAACAGTCGTGGATTGAAAATGAACAATTTATTATTGTTTTATTTTGGAAGAATTATTATTAGGCATGTGGAGTAAGGAAAAAAACTTGCCCAAGGTTTCGCCCTGCCGGAAATTGAACCCAGGTTTCTCGCTTGTAAGGCAAGTGGTCTAACCACTGAGCTACAGGACACCACATAATGTAAAATGATATGACTATTTTGTAGAAATATTATTGGGGCAATACACAGTTGCAGTTGTGGAATTTTTCCCAGCAGAGTAATGTTTTGAAATATCCCTTATAAAAAAAGGAATGGGTGGCCAGTGTAGAACTTTAATTTTTTTTTGCTTAATTTTTTTTCTCCACCAATCTTCTCCCCTAACTCTCACCTCATTTTTCCTTACTACTGGGGGCAAACCATGGTTACAAGTTGATTGAGTGTTTTTTTTGTGTGACTCTAGATAGATTGTGTTCACAAATTATTTTGACTGTGAGCATGTTATAGTATAACCAAACCCCATCCTTTCTTCCTAACAATCACATATTTGCATCTCCAACAGAGGTCACTGGATATTAATTGGGAGTGGAAATCTGAAAATGAGGTGTTGCCCCTCCAACCTCTGCGACCTGCTAACCCTTTATCAACCTACCCTCCCCCTCCGCTCAGCAGACTCTGTCTGGCCTGCTCCATGTCCCCAGCCGGCCGCCCCATCATTGGCGGTCACCCCTTCAGCCTCTCTGCCCCCACCCTCTGGAATTCCGTCCCACATTCCCTTTGCCTTGCTCCCTCCCTTGCCTCCTTAAAGGTGTGTCTTAAAACCCTCCTCCTCGACCATGGCTTCGGCCACCCTCATACCTTCTCTGCCCTCCACCCTCCCTGATCCCAACCTACCACCCGCTTGAGTCCTAATCCCTGACTTTTTCAGCACATTGGAACGTCGTCCTGATGTGAAAGGCACTTTACAAATATAATTTTGTATTGTATAATTTTTCCCCTCCTTATATCTGGGTTTTGAAATTTCGTATTTCAGAGTCTACAGTTAGGGATGTTGTGGTGGGGCACTTAGAAAGTCATAATGCGATTAGGTAGAGTCAACATGGTTTTATGAAAGGGAAATTGTGTTCAATAAATCTTTTAGAGTTTTTTGACGATGTTAGCTAGCAGGTTAGATGGGGGGAACCAGTGGATATAGTGTACTTGGATTTTCAGAAGGCATTTGACAAGGTACCACATAAAAGATTGTTACATAACATTAGGTCTCATGGAATTAAGGGTAATATATTA